GGGGGGGGGGGGGGGGTGTTATATCGCTTAGTTTTGACTTCACCTTTTAATGTCATTTAAGAACGGTACAGAGTACTTATTTTTTTTTCTTGTGTTGTTTTTTTTTAATTTAAAATTTTCTTGGGGTAGACTGGAGAAAGAGACCCAAATTCCTGAGGACAGGTGGACGAGAGGTTTGGGCATTCTGAATTTTGTCACCAGAACAGAAGGGAAACCCGAAAGCCGGGGACGCGATGCACGGGGAGCAGCAGGGCGCTGCGCCGAAGCTTTCAGGATTAGGCTGGATTTAACCTAAGGAGAGGTTTTATTTTGTCCCCTGTGCTCTCCCCAGCCTGCTTCGCTCTGCAAGGTCCCGCGGGTTCCTCGTGCAGCGCGTGGGGAGGTAACCCCGGATCCCTCACGCCCCTGTCCCGGCCCAACAAACTCCGGGCCCGGGCGCGCGCGGGCTCGCGGCGAGGCACCGGCAGAGGCAACCTCAACTCGTTGGGTGAAGTTAGCAGCAGTAATTGGCGTCACCTCCTTTCCATTTGGCATCCTCAGGGCTGTCTGCGAGCATTCCCAGGGACGTGCGTGCCCGCAGCGTCACTTTGCGTGCCATGGTGAAAAGCAGCGATTAATTTTTGCCTACGGATGAACTAAATGCTGCAATTCTCTGCCTGAGTGAGCAGAGGCGTAGAGATGGGGGTGGGTGTGTTTCTGTAAATATTTAGCAGAAGATAATGAAATTCCAGTGATGTACAAAAAAAAAAAAAAATTAATAATACCCACAAAGAGACCTTCGATTTGGAGGATAGAGTTTTTGTCTATTTTTATGTATATTTTTATACTGCTTGGGGTAACCTCAGTACCAAAAGTATCTCTTCTATGTTGGGGGTCAAGTTCAGTAGCACAATTTTAAAGCAAAATTACACTTTGGGCATTTTAAATGCTTATTTTTTTATAAGCCTCAAGACAACTATAACAAAATCTGACTGTGTATAGAAATGATGTAAGAAACAAAGTTTAGTGGAAGCTTTAGAAGATGTTAAATAAATTTCTGAAAGATGATACAGAAATCCTCTAACACGGTACCAAGCAGTTGTGTGTGATTCTTTCCTAAGACCAGCATTTTGCCTACTGAAAAATTGAAAGAGAGACGTTTTTACCTGCTGCACGGTGCAGAAGGTTGCGTTAGTGGCTGTATTTTTAAACTGTTAGCCAGCTGTACCCCTTTTGAACCATGTAGTGTTTTCATCAGTTAGTGAGCTAAATTTTATACAACTGTAGTTTGGGGGGGGGAGAGTGGGAGAGATCTGGACTATGGGGCAGCCCTGCTTTTGTCGCCGCTTCAGGCGCCAGTTCAGCAAATTGTTGGCGAGGGCGACTGAAAGGGTGAGAAGGAAACGTGGGTAGTCGAGTATCTGGTTAGCAAGGACGGGTGGAGCAGGGCGACCTTGCTCCCCTCGCAGCAAGGGATGGGCTGTAACTTCAGAGGACAGGAAGGATGAGCCCTGCGCCCGCAGGGTGGGGGTGAGCTGCTGAGCACTTTCTCCTCTCCTGGAACAGAGGGAGTAAAGGCAGGACAAGTCACTGGATCACGGCTGCTTTCGTCTGTCCTGCAGGGCCCGGTCTGGGGGCAGCGGCAGCCGCAGCTCTGCGGGGGTGACAAATGGAGGGAGCCACGTGCTGACGCTCGAGGGCACAGATCTAGACTGTCTGTGAGGTCAGGGAGGATTTTTGGCTGGGCTGGGTCGGATGGACACCCACCCCGATGGCCATGAGGCTCCTGTAATGCTTGAAAGCTTCGGCTTCCCCTTTGCTTTGACTCAGAATAAAGCAGGGGCTGAAACGGTCCCAGTCCAAAAGCGATACTTGAAGCGTTAACCCGTGACCACAGAGATGCCCTTGGCTGTGGCTGTAAGAAAGGGTTTAACAAAAGGTGCTCCTTTTTGTCTCAAAAGGGGATAAGCACCAGATGTTTGCTGTCCAGTCTGATTGTAACTTCAGTGGGACTGTAACCTCACACCAAAATGTTGCCATGGGACGTTACCTGAATGTCTTTAAAAATGAAGAAGGGAAGATTAAATTGTAGCTGTTGATATGAAGGGACGATCAAATGATTCTACGTAGGGAGATGGACAGACTGATCAACTGGCGTTGCCCGGTCTGTCTCTTCCCTCCAGTAAGAAGCACTGCTCTGTGGATTTAGGACGGCTTTTGTTTTGCTTGCTTGTTCCCCTTAGGATGCATTTTCTTTGCACTCCTGGTGGTGTGCTGGCGCCTTCTCTGCCCCCACCGGCAGCACAAGGTCTTCACTGCGTCAGCTGCTCTCTGGCAGTTCTCTCCTTTAGACAGGGTTTTATTGTTATTGATTTAAAAAAAAAAAAAAATATATATACACACACAATCAGCGGATTATTGAGCCTTGCACGAGGAATTTGCCTCTTCCCTTCTTGGAGTCAAAGGCCGGGTAGGGAGAAGAATCACATTCAGGCACCCAAAGTGGAGGAGTATCACCCGAGATGCACAGATCTCCGGCCTGGCCACAGCTCAGAGGTCGTTTGATCCGAGAGAACTTGGTGCTGCGTGCTGCACTGTCTCTTATCAGGCAATCCAAACGTGCCCGGGCTATCTGACAGAGATAAGTGGGTGAAAAGGTCAAGTGCAGGGGAGGGAGCGGGCACAGGTGTAACAGGGACAAAACCCCACACAACCAGTGATGAGGTACGAGACAGCAACAAAAATCAACTGGGATGGGGGGTGCCTTGGTCCCCACCTCACCACAACCTCCCAGCAGGTAACGAGAGGAAAACACCTTCTGCTGACAGATCACTTGGCTTGCTCTGGTTGAAGAGCGGTTGCCGAAGGCGAAAGAGGCAATTCCTGGTCACAAGGTAATCTGGAGTGAGGGGGAGCCAAGTTCTTTACCTTGTGACGCCCCTCACAAGTCGGGAGTCTTTCTGGTTTGAGGCAAAGAAAATGCATCTTAGTGCGGGTGTTGGCTCCGTGTGGGGCAGGGGGAGTTAAATAAAGCCAAAGACTGTTCGGCTGCTAGCAGAAACGAGTGATTGTAGATTCACCTGATGTTGTTATTTCGTGTTTACAATATTTATTTTTAGCAATTGACTGCAATTATATTATATATAGGCTTCCTTATTTTTGTACTTTTCATACCATTTTTCCTGAGTGTGGTGTTGTACTTCTCAGCTCCCCTTTGCCACGATTGCTGCTCCTAGCCAGTGACAAATAAAAGAGAGAAAAAAAAAAACCAACCAACCACCCATTTTCTGGGGCAAGTTGTGATGTGTTTGGGTTTCTGTGCTCCCCTCACTCCTGCCCGCTGCGCTGAGCCGCTCCGCAATCCCTCAGGCAGGGCACCTGCACCACTGCCCCATCCCAACCCCCTGATCCTGTCCACTGGGAAGGACCAAAGCTGGGAAGGGATTTGATTCATCGCACTGACAGTCCCGGCACAGCCAGGAGGGTGAGGGAGGGCCCAGGTAGGACCAGGACACCCAGAGACCAAAGGAAGGAGCTGTTAATGTCTGGAAAAAACACCCCATCAAGCTGAAGCTCCCGTCAGCTTTCTCCACATCCCACATCCCCACCACAGTGCAGGTGTCTGGAGCAGGGGCGGCCCTGGGAACCAGCGGGGTGCAAGGGCAGAGCAGGACCTGGACCTCAGGGCGCAGCGCTAAGCCCTCAGCACAAAGCAGGAGCCCTGTGGCGGCTCAACCCACCACCAAAGCTCAGACTTCAGCCCCGGCGTTACAGAAACACCAGGCTGTGGTGTAGGTGGTCTCTTCTGCCCTTACCAAGCAGCCCACTTTTCTTCCTACTTAATCGATGACAGTTTTAAAGTCTTGGTACTTCTAAGTTAAAAAAAGAGAAAAACTGCTTATTTAAATATCTAAACACCAAGTTCAGTGATGTAGCAGATGAACATCTCAAAATGCTTCTGCTTTCTGCTTCCAAAGCAGTACGACACAACACAAGGTTACACAGCGGCACGTCCACAGGCTGAATCTAACAGCAAAAGCTATTCATGGCAGGGAAGGGCAGAGGCTGGTGAGTATTCCACTTGAAATCATTTATTGACAACTTGCCACATCTTTCCATCTTGCCTAACATAATTTTATCCTTGTTATAAAGTACAAATGGTTTTATACTTTTCTGACAACATTAAAAAAATAGGCTACTAAAGAGGCAAAATTCCCACTTTGAATCCAAAAATCTTGCTGTAAGAATTCAAAATTGCAATAGACAAACATAAAACCCAACACATACAAAGAACGAGTATGGGGAACCTCTTACGCTTGACTCATTCGTCAAACCAACTGAAACGGAATCTGTTGTTCCCAGCTCTTACTTTGGATCCTGTGACCTTGCTTAACTGATGTGAAGTTTGTGTTAACACATACAACTCAAAAGGCACTCAAAGGTCACAAGTTCCTGAGCTAATACGGGATATATTCCCAATGTAACAGTTAAAACAAGTCACAAAAAGACAATGTTTAAAAACTGGTATTTGGTTCGTGTGAGTATAGTGAGCACTCAGTAGAATCCTAACTGAAAGCTGCTGCTGTATAACAGACTCAAATGAGTACATGAGAGCATTTTGAGTACATGGAAAAAAAGAATTCACTTATGAGCATCCTTATTAGCAAAATTCACTTGCTAAAAAAAGAGAAATATTTGTGGCAACGTTAAAAAAAGCCCAAGAACAAGAAAGAAATGTGTGTACATGAGACGCAATGAAGGCTTAGAACCAAGCAGGTTTGAAAGTCTGTACAGTTAAATAACTAACAGAAGTTGACAGGCAAAATTTACACAGATGTATTTGGCCCTGGGGGAAAAGGGCCACAAAAGAAAGCACACTATTGATCTGGTATTTACAGATCAGTTAAAAAAAACCCCAAAAACCACACACTAAAAAAATTCACACGTCCTACACTGTGTGCTCGGAATATGACAGGTAAGCTTGTAAGATGTTCACACAAATTCCCTATTTCAAATTTGGCTCAGTTTTTGCCCAGGAAAAAAAAAAAAAAAGGTAACATTTCTCGAAAGACGGAATGGCTACTGTCTGAAGATGCAGAACAGAAATGAAGAAATATGGGATAACTAGTTTTGGCCTATATAATTTCTGATCTTCTCTTCAGATATGCATAGAAGTACACTAAGGCCGTATGTATGTGCTACAGTGTAAGGCCTTTGCTCCTGTCAAAGCTCTGTGCGTCAGCAGGGCGTTTAAGTTAAAGCAGGCAGACGGAGTTACAGGAGCGCTGCTACATCCCACGGAAGGGGCCTCAGCTTTCTGAGTTGTCCAGCAGTGCCTCACTCTCAGCCTTCTTCTCCGGCGATGTGTACAAGAAGTTACAGCAGATATAGAGTGGGAAGATCAGGAATCTACTGTCCAAGTTCATTACCACCTGCTCCTGCAAAGCAAACACAGGGGACGCCTGCAGAGGAAGGGATGCCAGCAGAGGGAAGTACATCTAAAAGCACCCAAGGCTGACACCAAGTCATTCCATGAATTTCAGTTATTGTGTACTAAAAAGCAGAAGATAAAAATACCAAGACAGTAATTCACCTTCACCTTAAGCAGATGTTTTACAATATTAACACAGATAAGATACCCTCAAAACGCTCGTAAGCCTTTGGCCCCGTGCTGCCAACCCTTCTGCATCGAAGATAACAGAGCTGTAAGAAAAACCTGAGCGGCGTGTACCTTCAAGCTGCGCTGGGAGACTTTTCTGCCACTATCAGTTTCAGGAGGTTTAATCAGCCAGGCAATCTGTAACAGTCTACACCTCGAGGCACACTACAGTTTGTCGGTAGAAAATTTTTGGCTTTACTCTAGGAGCTGGTTTTGGGGTACCAGAAGTGAAACTTTATCCTAACAGTAAGGAGGGCATTCACAAGGAAGTTTTCTATGTACTCACCATCTACATATCACTGCTGATGAGGATTTGAAAAACTTGATGATCAAGTCACATTCCTTACTAAACTCTGCTGTCACAGATGGGTGGAAATGGGCACATTCTCTTAAGAAAACAACACTCCCCTCTCAGGCTTTTATTTATTTTTTTAACAGAGTAATAAATACCACCCTCGAACAATATGCAGACGTCCTTTTAACACCTCAGCTTACAATACAAGAGTCTTGAAACAAACTCCAGATTTGGCTCTAAATAAGCCGGAGTCTGTTGGCCGTATGATCCAGCCAGGTAATCTCACCAGGGCTGGAGCTCTGGGAAAGCAAGCAGTCGTCCAGCAGAACACCACACCGACAGCTCCTGCAGCACCACGGGAACTATCTGCACTATTACCAACACTAATGAAATCCACAGTAGCCTACCCTAGTTACACTTCACAAATTAGCTTAATCCTCCACTACCTATAAAAGGAACGCTTGAAATTCCACATAAGCAACGACAACAAGAACAGCTCCTCTTCAAAAGCACTGTTGACTTCTCAGCATTTTTTTCATGCCTTGGACTCCATAATTCAAGTTCAACTGCTCAAAACTCCACAAACATACCTGGTCCTTCTCAAGGGTCAGGATCTGATATCCCGTCGTTCGACTGCAAATAATTTTCCCACTGCTGTCAAAGGAGGCCAGACGTAACCTAGGGATGTATAACAACAGTTAAACTACTTTGTCTCCCATAACTTAGTTTTTCCAGCACAAAGAGTTTCTCCCAAGCAGACAGAGTACCACTGTCAAATGTAAATAATTCGGTGGCAACAAAACTTAACGCAAGCACAGATGGAAAGGCAGAGCTACAGTAAACATTTTCGCATACACCACAGGGTCTGCCTTCTTGGTTAGTGTTTACCTGAAGGCTATGTTTCTCCGAGGCTGCAGACTGACTGATCCACTGCATGGCTGATTCAGCGTATTCCGTTTGAAAATGATGTACCGATTTGTGTAAGTAACAAGAAGGTCAAAGCCAAAGTTGAACCCAGTCCACCGCCAGCAGTACTGAAGAACATAAGTAAAAAAAAAAACCCAAACAAACCAGTCTGAGTAGTGGCTCCAATACGAAAGACAAGTGCCAACAAATCGAACCTGGGAATGGAATTCTTGGCTACTGAGATGTATGGTGGATTCACGGATCCTTCCCAACACCCATCTGAAACATAAGACATCTTGGTAGGCAACCACTCACTTCAGTGGCCAACCCCTGCAGACAGATGACTGCACGAGACAAGCTCAGTATCAGCTGCCTTGCAAACAAGACGACGTTTAACACGAGTGGAACTAAAATCCTTCTGCTTTCTGGTAACCGGCGCTGTATTCCCGAGCAGCACTTAACTACAGGTCCCACTCACGCTCAAAGCACTCCCTGGAGTACAACATCCTCAGGTTAAGCAACTTCAGGCGGAAAAAATTCACATTTACTGTTTTTTCACAAGACCTGTTACCTGAAGACATACAGGTATATGGAATACACAGGGGTTCTGGCTGTCACTATTACACATTTTATCTAGAAAGCTTCCTTTTCCAGTTAAAAAGAAAAAGACACCAGTGATCAGAGCTGTATTTTAACTGCGTGTATTTTACAAGTCCAAATGACAAGCCATGTCTACATTCCCTCCTTTCACACGCTGAAGTTTTTCCAAACATGGGCTTACTTGCAGCACAAGAGCACAATTAAAACACTAATCCCTTATTCATCGCAGAGACAGCAAGTGCTTCCATCCTTCTGGGGAGAACAAAATAATTTCTTTAACGTACCATCTCCATTACCTCTTTTTGATGCAGTTTTGACAATTAGGACCTACATGTTCTGAGAATACCCAACATGTCTGAGACACGCCAGACTTAGCCACATGCCATACTTACATCACCGTCCTTTGCAAGTTTTCGACCACACCTCATGCTGTTTCCTTCCAGTTCCTCTTTATTTATTTCTTGAGGCCTACAAAAAAGGTACATCTTTAAAGACACTTAAACAGCTTTGTAGGGTACATTAATGTGGGAAAGATGAACAGACCTGAGCAATCTGGTCTGACCACACAACTGACCCTTCTTCGAGGAGAGGTTAGACTGGATGACCTCCCAGGATCCCTTCCAACCCAAACTGTCCCATGAACATCCAACTGCTCTAAACTGCAGCATGAACCAGGTTGTGACACCTCAGTTCAGCAGGACTTTTACAACAGAACCTTTCCCGATAAGACAATAATAGCTGTCACAATGAAATGCACTCTCCAGTCCTCCTAAAAAAACCCAAAGGCCTTTTTACCAGCAGTAGTCTGACTTACTGGGCACAAACATAAACGGGTGCTACTGCTAGGGAACAGCGGCAGGACTCTGCAAAAGAGCAGTTCTACGAAGAAGCACCCGCAGAGTCATTGTGAAAGATTTCTCAAGTGGCTGGTTGTGCAACTTGTCTAAAAAAAGTTCACCCGCGGTGATCGTGAAGTGCCACAAGCCTCCTGCTTCTGTCACCCTATACCAACATGAACTTGTTTCACCCAACGGTTTCCACTGGCGCCTCAACCCGTAAGAAAAACCTTGCAGAGCCAGCACAAGTAAAATCAGTCCCAGTTTTCCAGAGGTATGTTACTCGCTTAACTTTAGACATGACTACATCGTTAATCAAATAAGCAACCAGTGCCAGAAAGTCTTAAAGTTATGCTGAGGACAAATGCTTAAAGTGAGTATTATAAATCACAAGGAAAGGCAACAGCCCCCCAGTTATACGCCTGCAATATCAAACAACGTATTTCAAGCTATATAAGCAAGAAAAAAAACGCAGCAGTTGTTCTCTTCCTACTGTACACACACACCACAAGAACTTGCGGCTACGGCTTTTATGAACAAACTCAGTCTGTGGTCTTTTTGCCCCGTTTCTATAAAAAACAATCCTGTAAGATGAAGTATTTTATGAATAAGTTAAGCAAATAAGCTAATCATGCTAACCAAATTCATCCAAGAACCTCCTGCGTGCTTTTCCCACATCTTCTAGTTGAACTGGTTATGTAGCTGACCTAAATTCAGTAATGGTGATAAAAGATTTATTTCTGTTTAATTAGTGACAAATTTCACAAACATTAGTACATAATGTTCAGACAGACATTAGTATTCCCCCCCCTCAAATCCTCAAGCAGCCTCAGAAGATGCAAAACTTTTGGCTTTAACCACTTACATTGGCCTACCATATGCTTAGTGAACAGTCAAGTTATTCTATTTCATTCTTAAACACTGCCAAAGAGACTATTAGAGTAGAAATCATTTCAGTCACGGACTCAAAAGTCGTCTTGCATCTACCACTGAGCAAATGTTTAATTAAAAAAAAAAAAAGTGATCCACTTTAGTGCCACAAGTAAACCTTGAGCAGCTACAGTTCAAAGTCACAAGCTCCAGTATTACACTAAAAAATTCTCAAATTCTGAAGAATGAATAAAATGTTTAGTCCTTTTAAATGCAAACTACCTAAGGTAGAAGAGAAAGCTCTCTAAAGTTATCAAAAGAGCAAACCACATCACACATTTCAAAGGAATGTAATCTCCACTTTGGCAGTCTCCAAATAGGCAGGTGCGATTACGCTGTGCACCAGGTGGGATACGAAAATAGAGCCTTACTACAGCTCACTGGGAGTCAGGCTTCACATCTGGTCCAGCGCACTAAACTGTACTTCCTTATCTCTAAGGGACAAAACAAATGCGTTAACATACTGGTAAGTGGGAGAGGAAGGGCAGCAGACCTGGATAAAAGGTTGGTCTTACAACATCTTAATTCTGCTCCTTCAACTACAGGTTGGTCGAATGTCCAAAAATATTTGCTTTAATGGAAAGGAACAGTTGCGTGTCTTCCCTTCCAAGACCTAAGTTACAAACCAGAGGCATCTCCCTGCAGGGTGGCACCACAGCTTGCCAGCAGAAGACAGAGAAGCGATCTCAGGGCTCAGGTAACATTTCTCTCCCTGGAGACTGCGTCCTACGGACGGTGACATTGCAGCACGTAACTACGGGGAAGCACTCCATGCACACAGGCCTGCACCCCCCCAGCATCTCCCTCCCACACCGCTCCAGAGAACACCACGTCCAAACACAATTAGTCCGTTACTGGCTATTAAACAAACAGTAACCTGGATGCCACCTTGAAGCACTGTCTGTAAACGACTGAAGTCAGAAGTTAAGACATTGAGAAGAAACACAATCTTTCACCCATTCGCCCTTGACGATGACTGCCAGGGTAAGAGATTTGGGCAAACAGATGTCTACTCTTAAGTAAAACTTCTTCTGCCTGAGATCTTTGGTTTTAGCTGTCTTAAAAAAACTAATCCCATACTGCAAAAGAGAAAACTAGACAAGCAAGAAAAACATGGAAAAATACTCCGGCTCTTTCCAAAAGTCACTGAAATCATCAGCACTGCAGTTGAACATGAAAGTTGCTCATGTTAAAGCTGGTATGATCCCCACCACCTTCACTTCAGTTTGTATGAGAGCTTACTTTTCCAGAAGCATGTATATCTGATGGCTGACAACGAGAGTATTTTCACTGTATTACAGTGAACTGCCAAAAGAACATAAAAAAAAAAAAGCAAATACATGGTCTTATGTTGTGTCAGAATTTTGATGACTGTGGCAATACTCCCTCCTTTCATATTAGCTGTGATTCCCATATGAGCTAGAAGGTAACTCACAACGTACGATCATCTACTGCTGGATGCCTCAACAACAGCATTACGAGAGAAGTTTTCCCAAGAAAACAACAGTATGAGAAACAAGCTACGACCACCTGGCATCAATCTTTAGGAGCTGAAATGGTAAGATTCACCATTACATACGTTAAAGCACTGCTACTGAGAAAGACAACCACTTCTTAAGAATCTTGGCTATTCTTAAGACTAAAAAAAATCAGAGTTTGGGCAATTTTTTACAGTATCACATAATACCATCAAAAGAAAGTAATTAAGGAAGCAGTTCCTATATAAAACACAATTAAACCATGGAAGCCACTGCCACAGGGTGCTGGGGCTAAAGCACAAGCTCTTTCAAAACAGAACTGTAGGTATTTGTTGGTGGTTGGTTATTCAGTAACGACAGAGCCAAAACCTCCAGCTGGAAAAAACTACTCGCTGCTGGAGAAGTCCATCAAGAGAACACTCACTCTTCACTTCAGAGGAAGGTGGGAGATTTGTAACTCTGCCTCCCGCTGGACGCTGCCACAGCCTGCACAGCCTTTGGTTCAAATCAGGACAGTGGTTCTTACGCTTTTCAGACTGCAGTTACTAAGTGAAGCCTACCATTGCAATTGAACATGCTCATCTTCTGAACGGCAAATGCTGGGCTAACAGAACTGATGGAAGAAAATAAAGAAGTTGGTTTATTGGTTTCTGAAAGGTAACAAACATTTTGCAGCTTCCTGATCTGACAGTCATTCTCCACAAAGCACAGCAAGAACTAGGAGAGAAGACAAAGGCAGGGACAACTCCTGCACTTGCATTTTGCCATAGTTCAGGTATTTACAAAGAGATTAAGGGACCTCGGCTCAATGCAACCTGGCAAAAAGCAAGCAGAAGGAAGGGAGACAGCTGGTGATCATGCATACATCTAACACACATGAAAACATGCCTCGCTGCCCAAGCCAGCACCACTGACAACCCCCGTTAGGCACAGGCTCAAAAACCCAACCACGCATTACACACGGACACCAGCCAGGGTGTTACACAAAGTACAGCCACATGCGGGTCTTTGAAAGGGCACAGAAGGGTGGTAGTTGTCATGGAATCTCCTCAACAGCAATGCAACGCCACCACAGTGCAGCATGTGGCCTAGGAAGGAGAAAAGACGGGGTACAAGACAGAAGGATTAGAGGACAGGGTCTTAGCAGTGGAGAAGGATGCACTGCCTGGGAAAAGCTGGAGGTGCTGGCAGAGGAGAGCGATCACACATAAACATGGAGTGAGGGAAAGGCTGTGGAATTAGAAGGAAATGAGGCGAACGGGTGACGGGATGCCAAGCCCTGCTGGGTGCTGGGCCCTCGCCCGCTGCCTGGGAGGCTAGGATGGGAGAGGCAGGAACAAAGGTTAGTGCGGAGCTACCCCGGCATAAACAAGTGACAAATCGCCTTCTACACCAATGCAGTTAGTTACATCACACAACCAGCTCTGGCCCACCTAGCCCAGGGAGGAAGGAAGCAGGACAGAAAAGGCTTCTTCTCCATCTGCAGTACTGTTCCTAAAGTTGCCCTTAAAATGGAAGGCTGACAAGTTACTCTTTCACAGCCTCAACACATTCAAGGCAGAGTACCAGTGAGAAGCATTAACCAACATCAAAGAAAGTACAGAACATCCCTCCTTACATCTACCCCCGGTCGCATTATACAAGTTTGCTAGAGTTCTACTGTTTAAAGGACAGGAGATAAGCCAGCCCAAGGGAACAGACGGCTCCACAGAGAACAGAGTTTAAAACCACTGAAGTTGCTTTCCCCCCGGCTCTTCTTAATGTAAACTCCAAAAGTTAATCATTACAGAATTTATATGAGGAAGGTTTCTAGTTAAAAAAAGAAATAAAAGGAAAGCCTGTAATATACCTACCCAATATCATTGTCTTGTTCTGCTCTGAGCATGGCAAACCACTGCTGTTTGTAAACAGAGGACAGCCATTCTAAAATTAAAAAAAAATAAATAAGCTTGGTGTTGTCTTTGGAGCTGGGAATGGGGATGTTCATAAACATTTGAAATATAGAAATAAAATTACATCGAAATAATAAGGTCACACTTATTAACTGGAAGGTCTATGCAAACCCACCACCTGATAATGCACTTGTGTTATTCATCTCCAGGCCTCCACTACAGAAGTGGTACAGATAAAAATCAACAACTAACACTAAATAACTCAGTGCTATATTCATCTTATCAAGCATTCCGATTGCCAGAAGTGATGCAACTCCACACGTTTTCCTCGGCACGCAAAGTTCTGTTAAGCCAAGCAGCTTGTTAACAAGCTCTCGGGGGAAGATGTTGTTTTCTGAATCCCCCAAAGAATTCTACACAAGTTAAACAAGAAGAAAACAGAATCAAAGGATAAAGGAAACAGTGACTTATCACGGATATGGTAAAAACACACAGAAATTGTCCCCTACCAGGAATAAACATAAATCATTTCTTCCTCCGAGAACACCATGGAGATTTTATCGGCTGTATAAATTTAACAGTTGCAACCAAGAGATAAAACAGAACAAAAACTAACAGCTTGCAAGTCAGCTCTGCAAAAGGGATCAGAGGCACCTAAAAGCACAGTATATAAGTTGTTCTTAGTCAAGATAACAAAGAGAGGGAACTATGCAAGGTCATGGATGAGAACAAACTCTATGGAGGAACAGACTGGGATGGTGGGAACAGCGAGAACCACTGTAACTGCAAAACCAAAACGGGTAGTTGATGAAGATGACAGAAGGGAGAAGTGAGCTTAGCGTGCTGAGATCCCCTTAGGAGTCCCAGGTGCAAAAATTAGAACCAGCTCTTGCTCCACTAACTCTAGAGTTAAGATTCAGACTGTGATAGAACCAAAATGGGAATTAACCAAAGCACAACAGAAAGTATAAAAATGATTTAAGGAAAACTACAGAGATAAGGAACAGAGAATGGATGCACTAGAAGGAAAAAACCCCATAAATCAGGAGATATTTCTGTATATGCCTGTATCTATTCCACACACGACATTTCAACTCTGGTTGAACAACAAACACTTCGCTTACCGACACTGCGTATTTCTTGTACACCTTTTCTCTGCGAACAAGAACAGCCTCTCTGTTGTGAGCTCCTAACATATTATTTCAGTTTCCTCCTGCAGGTCCTACACCATACGTGGTATAAAAAAAATCCCCACACAATTATACCTCTTCTTTCAACTATGCAACAGGATTTCCTTCTTTACCTCCCTGAGAACAATTTAATCTAAAAGGTTTACACCACAATACAAACTACCCAGCAATTTCCACGCCTGTCGACTCTCTCAGGTACGATGCCATCACCTCAAATACTGGACACTGGCAGCCAATAACCGGTTTGAAAGTGCACCACCAGTATTTATCTAAGCCTCCTTTTACACGACGAGCAAAAGTTCCTCATCTTAACACAGTTTATGGCTACAAACTGGTATCAGCAGATGACAGGGGCTACCAAGTGCTGAACTCTCACAGCACTTCATTACACACGCAGAGGTCTCCACGTTAGGCTCTTCTCTACCGGCTCTCCCAGTTCTCTTGGAATTCAAGTTGGGTTTTTTAAATTAGTGGTAGAGTGCAAACATCAGATACTCTTCCTGCACTAACCACACACTCGCTGTCACCACGCCACCTTTCCCACTGTACGACTACAAAGCCATCAAGCCCATTTCAGCATTTATCACAGCTTATGAACTGTTTAACTACAAAAGAGTAAACATTTTGCTCTCTAATGCCTTGTGAGCTATGCAAAACCGATACATCCTTTTTCAATGAGCACAAGCAAATCAGCCTCAAAGTCACAATTAATCTTGTAACGACTTAAGAAACACTCCTCCTCTGACATAAATAGATAGAAGGCTTCTGGGTTCAAGCATAGACACAAAGTTTATCCACTGAAGAATACCTGAGAAAAGGCAGTTCAGGTAAGTGGTAACAGCAGCAACATCAAGATAAGGAAATCAAGTGCAGTTCTGGCAAATTTCTGGTTTGCAACATCTTATTCACATGCTGACAAAGCCACTTGACAAGGAGATAATCCACAGTTCTCCTGTGTCATCATTAAATTGAGGATCTAAAGGGTCATTCATGCAAGTTATCTTACTTTTTATTACAGAATGAAGATGCCTTTGCACTTTCATTATGATCTGTACCAGTATCAGTCTTAAGTAAGACTGATTGTGTTTACTTTACACATGACTTAAGCATATAAAATACCACATATCAAAGATCAGATCTCTTCTTCCGGGATTTTTATACATAACACAAAACGTTCTCGTTTCCTTGAGGTCAGAAACTGCCCCATCTACTGGACACAACGACCAGACCATTCACCCCAAGTGCACCTCGGCTGGGCGCTGTCACCCACTGCCTCCACCTGCCGTTCAGAGAACACTTTTACATTGACATCTGAGCACAGCATAACGAGTTCCTTTGTCTTTTACCTTCTCAGAACCAGTACGGAAGACAGTCTCTCCTCCATCTATTAAGATACTAATTTAAACCAGAACTGGGAGTAGGGAAAGCCAGTCCATTTAAAGCAGTAGTAAGTGTCCACTTTCACTCGAGGGCTTGACAGATGAATCGCGAGGAAAGGACCCCTACCCCCTCCCCACAGGTACCCCCTATCACAGCGTCGAGTTCAGCTTCTGATAACTGCACTCTTTGAACACCTCAAAGCATCAGAAAAAGGTAACTCAAGGTTATCCAGACAGCAACTAAACCATTATTTCTGGCAGAGACAGGATACAATGGTACAAGACAGACAAACTGAGCAAAGTGATGCTCACTACGTCATCTTAATGGCAAGGGAAGTGTTTTAAAAGCATCTAACAATTTGATCAGGCTAGCAGGCTTCAAAAGAAATATTCCGACAAGTCTGGTTTGGCATTATACCATCACTGTGTTGACATCTATGGCAGCAAGAAGGAAAAAGCCAGTATGAGATGAAAAAAATGGTTTTAATTTTACAGGAAGACAGGAGCGTAACTCAAAAACAGGTTAAATATTTATGTATGGCAAGAGTCAAAGCGACATCCAAGGCTACAAGTATGGACAGATGATAAATACCACAGATGTCAAGAAGTTACAAATAACTGAGTGATAAACAGCTCAATAAACGCAGTCTTAATTGACGTCTGGCAATTATAGCTATAATTCAGTTATACAGCTATAAGACACAGATGAATGGATAGTTATGGTGTGGACAGATATAAAAAAAAAAATCAAAGGTGGGTACATGAGAGCTAGGGAAAAAACCTGTTGGAGTCAAGATGCAAAATTCATTGCTAAGACTCAACTCTAATGAGGGAACACTGAACAGTGAAACATGCACCAAGGATAGCAGGAGTCAGAATCAAAGGCAGATCCTAAGTCCCAACACTGCTAGAAGGAGCACAACTAACTCAGGGGAGGGGGGCAGAAAAGAGGAACCAAAAGAAACCAAATCAAATTAAAAAGAAAAGAGGAGCAGGTGTTTCACATGATAAAAGATATGAATGATAGTGGAAAAACATTTTCAAGTGAGCACCCAACTTGATAGCTCTTTCCCAATCTTACTCCTCTATCAGCAGCCAGTTTACACAGCGTTGGAGCCAAGAACAAAGCCTATCTGTGAAGTCAGGCTTCAGCAGCAAGACGAGAACGCGGCTTCTTATTTTCCAGTGATAACGTAATATTAATAGCAGCAATCTGTAACAACATTAAATGGCATTTCGCTCTGGGTTTCAGAAAGGACCAGGACCTAGAATGAGGATGTGTTTTATACAAGTCAAAATGCAAAGAAAAGGACAAGAGCAGAACACCTGGATATCCCATCTCCTCCAATTCATCCTAAATATCTGTTAGTAAATAATGATTGTCTTTGAAGATGGGAGAAGAGTTCACAGCATCTCGTGCTTTTGGTTTTCATTCTCAGGTATTATTCCAAAACCCAGCTCTTTTTAGAAAGATGATGGCTAGAGAATAGTTGAGGCCCATCAAGTTTTACTCCTCAAAAGTTTGTCCTCATGTCTGGGACTCGGGGGTTATTTAAACACTGATAACGTATCATGCATCGATTATAGAGCTGATCAGTCAGTTTATCAAAATACACTTGTGTGTGTCTTTTAGGACTTTTAAGCATGTAAATTTAATATTCAACTTCTGCTGAATCTTCAGCCACAATTTAGACATTGGAGAGAAACACGTGAGTGCCAAGACCAGTAAACGCGCCTGGATCTTCCAATTACTCTTGAGCAGGACAGGCTAGGAAAGGCACACGGAACTGGATCAGCCGAGTACTCACTCACCTGAGGGTATTAGGGAATCTCTCTCAATAATTCTGGCTGATGCCAAGTCACTGATGATGTACTGTAACCTCAAGTGTGTGAACACCGACAGGAACGCATTCCCCTGTTCCGATTCCAGGAATGCAATGTCATTCTCAAAATCTGCAAGACACAGCACCTGCATTACAATTTGTTTTCCTAAATATTTTCCCGATCCTATTTATATTTGAGATTGAGCTTTAACTTACTGATCAGAGAAAGTTGTTATGGCAGGCAAATCAGGTTTTGCAGCTAAAATTAAGAAACTACTTACATTCAAATCCTTTCAGCAGGAAGGTTAGACCAAACTTTTCCTCTTTTGAAATATGCTAGTGCCTTCTAGTGAGAAGGCAACAAAAGCTTATCCTAACTGAACAATAGCAAAAGCAACAAAGCAAAAATAGCGACCATGTCTGCTCACTTGAAAACACGTGGACAAAACAGTGAAAAAAGCGATCGGTGTTGAGAATGTGATGCCAGGGACTGCTGGCAGAGGGAAGCCTTCCCAGAGGAAACAGAAGAAAGTTTGGAAGTGGAGGAAGACCACTGTATTTTACTTCTAACCCCCGTCTTCCCCAATCCAAGGCCACGCCAATTAATCCTACCTTTCCTACGCTTGGCAAACCAGGCATCAGCTTCAGTTAGGAGTTGTTTCAAAGACCCATTCCAAGAAGGCACTAGCTGAAGGAACATCCACTAGGTAAAACAGACAAACTCCTAAGTTAACTGAAGAAGTTTTCAAACCAGTAATACTTGCATTATTAAAAAGAACAATTTCATAATGCATTCATTCCTACAAAGACTCTGGTGCTCTATTAAATATTTTAATTAAATACCAAAAAGGCTAAAATTTTCATTGCATTACAAATCAGCTACTACTCAAGGAGTTCAACTTCACAAAGCCCCAGCCAGCCCCTTTGCCAAGTACCTTTTTGAGAGCAGTGTACACATCCATTTCCACTTGCATTACAAATAGGTTAGAAGAGCTGATCAGCTGTTTCATGAGGTTTATGCTGAAAAAAAAAAAAAAAAAAAAAAAAAAAAAAAAAAAAAAAAAAAAGACAGTACAGACAAAAGCAAGAAAGCAAGCCAGGTAACAAGCAACCATCAGTAGCCTAAAAAGTTATTTGTAGTGAGCTATATACTTTGGAAGAAACTGTACTTCATCACTCAAAGTTAACTGAAGCCTAAATACCTGAGTTCTTTGAAGAGTTCAACACTCTGGTGAGTCATCAGGTTATTCAAGAGCCATTCAAGGCACCTAGATTAAAAGCAAGGAATTAGTACTTTCATTTTTTTTCTTATACATGCCAACATTCCTGCAACAGCTGCTCAGGCTCACAAGTCTGATTACGTACCACATGATTTTGAAATACTGCTTTAACCCGAGACAGGAAAGCATTAAAATATGAAAAAGTTATTTCGAAACCATGAAAATTTTACAAAGTTTTCTGAAACTCTCCAAGTTGCATTCGGTTTCTCTCAGCGTATGGTGAAAGCTAAATTCAAAGTACTCTTCATGTCACAAAAAGCTGTGAGAACACACCAATTTACAGCAGAAGGATGCCGTTAGCACTAACCTCGGCATTCTGATCCCAAAGGTGCAATTATTCCTCCTAATTAAGATAAAGTTAAGCTTAAGTTCTGAATATTAAAGCAGCTTTGTGATAAAACAGTCAATGATCACAAGTATTATTTCACCGACACACTGAAGACCAAACATATTGTCTTTACTAATACACTTTGGTAATTAACTCACAGACCAGGACAACCATTCTACCATGATCTACACCAATTTTAAAGGTAATTCATTATAATACAAACTCAAAACTAAATAGGACAAACAGAGACCAAGTCAGATAGCTTTTAAAAGAAAAAAAAATTAGCTTGGGCATTATTTTACTACGTGTAAATTCACACTTTTAATTAGCAATGTACAAAGCAGCTTGAAGAAAGTAATTCTTACTTTTTCTTCACGGAGTCTAACCCGTATGTCCCCGCTGAATTATAATAACCACACACAGTTTTTGCATTAATGGTTTCCTTCATTGTTTCACCACATTGCTGGATTAAGCCATCCTGTGGGGAGGAAAAAAAACCACAAATATTCAAAGTTTTATTTTCCCAACAGGAAATGTCAAGGATTGTGCAGTTTATACAAATTTTCATGCCTGAAAAACTACCAAAGTCACAGACACTGGTGACCTGTGCTACGACATCCAGAAAATTTAAACCAACATTCTTCAGAAAAATAGATTTTTCTTAAGAATCTATCACACTAAAGAAAAGCTTAATGAATACCTTCAGGGTAGAACAAATGATCTGTTAGAACATATTTTAAGCTACTTCTAGATATGATTCCCAAAGCAGCACTTTAATATTACAACTGAATCTTAGTCATAGCTTTTTTAAATAAAACCACTGCATTAAGTTTGGGTTTTTCTCCACTTAATCTGAAGAGATGATTCATTTCTCTGGGTGAAACAGTACAAGCATGTGAGCATATTATGAACTGTTATCTTTATCTGAAAAGAAAGTATAAAAATACTGCTTATCTCTTACTTACAAGCTGCAGCATGCAGGCTGCTGCTAAAAGTGCAACTACTCGACTGGGTTTTATTAACACATCGTCTCTATACAGCGAGCCAAAAGCCACCTGTAGAGCTGAAAAGAGTGTAGGTGTTAAAGATGGGACATTGAGCACGGATAACCAAAAGAATCTTAAATATAACCAAACCTCTTGGGTGCACACTTCTCTACAATTGTATTTGCTCTGGATAAAAAGTATTTAGTATTTACCCTCCCAAGTACAGGCAGAAAACACAAAACATGGCATCAGACAACAAAGTACATCCTTTGCACTGTTTATCACAAAATCTTAAACAGCCACCAAGTCACACCATGGAGCAACAGGGAGAGCAAACTAGCTAAAAAGCCTCACGATCCTTCTCTGCAACTGACCACTAGCATAATGTCGCAATATTCCAGGCTTCTCTAATTCTTCTGAAAATGCTACTTCCTCGCTCCGTGGTGCTCGGGACCCCAGCAACACCCCCTGTCAGCTCACACGGGTCCCCTGTGACGCTCCCCTGAGCAGCTTTTCAGACCAGAGATGAAGATGTGATTCACCGTCCGGCACTCGGGTCCCCCAAGAGCCGATCTCAAGAGCCCCGATGCCGAAACAAGACAAGCGGCTGCTTTTCAGCTGCACTTCCCAACTCAGAGGGACAAAAATGAACTCAGTTCTATTGCTGACCTGAGTTAAGCTCAAAACTGAATGAGCACAGAACATTCTCTCAAGTTTCTTATTTACTAGTTTGAAAAATAAAAAAAAAAATTAGTATTTTCAGAGTTTTTTTGTCAGGTTCAACTTAACCTCTACCTCGAGAACATATATTAAATTAAAAGGTTCCCACTTACCTTCTATATCAATATTTTGGTCAGGAATCTCCAGCTCTATGATGTTCATGTTAGACTCTTTCCAAGATCCACTGAACATACTGGAAAAGTAGCCTGACTATATGAGGGAAGATGAGAAAAAAAGAAGTCAAGTAAGAGATTTCATTCAAATTAAAACCGTTAAAAGCAGTACATGGAACGAAAAGTTGTTAATATTTACCTTTATGCAGAACAGAATGTATTAAGGGAACGTTTCACAAGCTAAAACATTCTGATATACTTGAGAAAGGGCTAATTGTATTTGCTTTTATTTCTGAAAATGAAAGTGTGTACAGAAAATTTGGACGATGTGTCTGTAATCATAGCAAGTAAAGAGCTTTAAAGGGCCAGAAAAATCACATAAGCTCTTTTTCCTACAAACCACACCACCAATGGATATATAATTAGTCCAAGAACTAAGTCCTTAATGCTACTGGCAGACAACAAATCCTGCAGGCATTAGGGAATGCCAGTTTGGGTATGGGGAGAAAAAATAAAAGCAGCATGCAAGACATACAAATTAATGTACAAGGTTGTAGTCTCATACCAAGAACACATACACATACACCATTTATGTAAATATACCTTTTATTATAAAGTGTAAGGCATATAAAACTAGAATTTGATAGGTTTCCATCCAAATGAAGTGAAATACACTGCTCTACTAGGATTCATGATTTTCCTTCTCAGCAGCAGATGTGCCCATTATGAGATGCTATCACTCACTGAAGTTTACCTGAGAGATCAAAAAAATAAAGTCTATTTGTACAGCACCATATTCCCTGACCTCTTAACTCAGCATTTCAACTCAGGGCAGCAAACAATATAAAATCCAATTTTGATTTTATCTGGTTATGTAAATATGTCCATACCTTCAGCATATCCCCTAACTATGATGACATTCACCACACTACTCTCAAAACCAGAGCCTTATTCAGCTTACCAATCCTCTCGAGGCTACCTTAGCTTTGCCATGCAGATCAGCTCAATTCCATGAGAATTTATTATTGCAATCCTCCATTTCTCAGATCTGCCCTTAACAGGTAGAGCAGCACCTTACTGTTACTTATCAAACTAAATGCAGAAACTTGAGAGACTAGGGAAACAGAACCATTCAGACTGAGATAATCTGCTCAAAGAGGCAAAGGAGGAGCCGTAATTTCATTAGGAGTAATTTACAGAGGGAGTTATGTTTAACCTCCCAACATATTTTCCCTGTAGTAACATCATGCCAACGACAGCATGAATTGAAATAGAAACCTGACTTACGAGAACGGTTAACTTGACCACAAAATTTCATCTCACAAGAACCTCACTTGTACAAGGCCTCTACAGAACAAAATTGCAATTTCCAAAGTCTGTTAAAAAGCGTCCACAGAAGTGATTAAATATTCAATTTCGCTCATCAACCCACACTAAGTTTTAAGGAGCAGCTTCGCGAACTTGAGACGTAGCAACAACAGAAGCACAACAATTAAAAACACCATCACCAACGACAGTCTAAGGACAAACCAGCAACATGCCCACCCTGTTTATGCTGCACAACCTAAGTCTGACTGTCCAACCCACTTAGATCCTCCCTTTGTTACAGACAGTCAGAAGTGAGCACGCAATTAAAGCTGCGTCTGCCGGCTGTCCTCTGGCCAAACACACCCACGGTTCTAGAGATCAAGAGACGGCTGCCACTGGTCAGTCTTTGGCTATACACAAATTACTTCCCTGCCCTCACTTTATGCTCTTCAAAAGGTTGTAAAATAAAAGGTGTTTTCCTAAAAGAAAGCAATGAGGATTTCCCTAGCTGTGGCCAACTGAAGCGATTGCTGTACCTGCGCTGGAATCATGGCATTAACATAACAACCACCAAAAAAAAATAATCAAGAACTTGCTTCTACCATCACTTGTTACCCCAGAGAAACTGAATACAACCTGCTGAGCACCGCATGTGACATCTTCACCTCCTAACACAAACCCACCTTGCATTTGGCTACAGCTAATAAAGCAGCTCACACCTTTTCGGGTATAGCACCTGACGTTGCTTTCTCTTCTCACTTCAAATAAACTGCTTCCAAGGTTAGACTCCGACTTGAAAGTTAATGGCACAACTGAATGACACATTTCATGACAAAACCATGGTTTCTCCCGACTTTCGTCACAGGAAAAGTAATAAAGAGGACAGACAGTAAAGACAACAGTACCTCTTCACTACCCAAACACAAGAAATAACACAAAGAACTTCACCTTAATACAAGCCCAAAATAAAACGGCTTGTAGAAACAGCATCTTTTCTGCAGGTGCACACTAAGATTTATTCCTTTTTAGAGTTTCTGTGCATACCTTCCTCACGCAACAGCAAGAAAGCCTTCACCCAATGATGAAGGCTGCATAACAGAGACTCAGCTCCAGCAATTTCACTTCAGGCTCCTATACCCAAGCCCCAACGAACAGTAAAATTGAACCGGGTTAGCACATGCTTTACAAATCCATTCTGGAAGCGCTGTCTTTGCTCTGCAATAATATTAACATCGCAGGAGACCCTCAGCCATTCATTTACCAAACAAAAACACACTCCTAGGACACCAAAAGACAACTTTTAGGACTGTTTTCACAAAGGATGTGCCAAGGTTAAGATGAGATTAAAAAATTAAAGAGCAAAAGACAGAACTGAAGAAACTCTTCAAACACGAAGCTACAGCTATGCTTCCTAACGCTGCTTTCAAAAGCACAAGTTTTTTATCTGTCTGCATCCACAGGAAGAGTGGTAAGTCTGAAATACAAGGGAAAAAAACACCAAACTCAAGTCACACTTAACATTTACCAGATATTCCTTTATTAAACATACAGCTTCTATTGCCAGTAAGAAAGAAGTCGCTTACCTGACACAAATATATCTTATGCAAGTTCCACTCCTCTCCCAGAGCACAAATTTTGATATCACTGTTCTCCCCATTCAAAAACAGAGTCTGATAAATATATTTAGAAGTGCTTTTCAATTTTTTCCTATACAAAAAGGCAAACAGAGACACACTCTTTCAACATTTTCTGTTACGGCAGCAACACTAAAATGAGTAAGTGGACAGGGCTTTTTCCCTCCCCGTGAGGGCTGACTGACCACCCCCTCCCCGCTGCCGGGCCCTTTGCACAGCACAGACCCCAACCCCACAGGGAAACCCTCTGTTCTCCATCCCCCCCTCACCCCCCTCCTACACAACAAGCCCCTGAAGGCCGGGCTCGGGCCTCGGCCCCTGCGCCCCCCCGGCCCTGAACACACACCTGTGGAGCACGGAAGATGCTGAAAAAACAAGGACACAGTTCTTTCACCACTGCCTCTCACAGAATACACCCTCATGGCAGAATGTTCAGAAATGAATTGTTTATTCATTTGTAAAAAGTCAGCAACATGAGTCATTTAAACACAAAACCAAGCCGGGGTGCATCTGTTAGTCTGTTGGACTGGGCAAAACAATTTTTCTTTCACTGAGCAGAAGGCTTCACTTGAACTAGAAGAGCTCTGCCTCCTCTCCCACCAAAACAAGGAATGTATCTCCAATTACAGCACAGAGAGCAAGAAAGAAAAGTATTTTATTTGAGGCCACAGAAATATCTCCTATTCAAGCCAACAGTAGCCTTATTTAGAAGAAAATGAGAACCAGAACTGGGTGTAGGCCATATCAGTACTTGTGCCTTCAAATTCTAACCTCAGTCTGATGCCTTCAGGATTATATACCAACAGCTAAAAAAAAATTAAACTGCTAAGGCAAACAAGAATGACATTTTAACCACATTTTTGTAGTGAAAACGCTCATCAACAGGCAGTTGTGTAGTGTTTGGGGGAAAATTCTCTCCCGGAGGTTGGAAGCCCAAGTCAGGGAGAGGCACAAAGACTGGGCCCTCCAACAGCAGTGTTAGCAAGTGAGATGGGGTGAGCTACCCCAGTACAAGCACCCCAGCCTAAGGCATCAGGTAGTGCTGATGAGATGGGGACAGGTCATTCCTTAAAAGGCACCGTTCTAATGACGTCCCTTTATCCAGAGAAAGGGTTTGTGCTATAACCCTGGTGATTTATGCTCCCACGAGCCAAGGCAGGCAGACCACCAGTACAGGGCTGCTCTGTAACCAGGGCAGCAAGAGTTTTTTCTGATGTCACCAGTGACATCTTCCCTACTACCTATCTACAGGCAACATATACATAAAGTGCAGCAAGGCTGTTAATGTTCCACACTAAGAGGGCAAGTTAAGATCTAAACGTGTTTCTATTTCGGATGATTGTGTTTTAGTTATCTTGCAAAACCTGAAGCAAGCCTGCATTCTGCACTCTCCCTGTATTGATGAGGTTAATTTTTCCCTGTGCAGCCAAGTTTGCTTCAGCTGATAAGTTTTGCTGGTGAATGCAACAGCAAAGGGACAGCCTGTCAGGAAACAATTTAGCTTTTATATATTTGGCTAAAGCATTCTGTTTAAGATGGGCTTTGCTAGCCCAGACGGGTATTCCAAGCATAAAAGCGTACCAAGAGGTTCAGCTGGAATGGCCATTATCTAACCAGAGCATTAACTAAGTCAATACTCATTGCAATTAATAAGATATTTGGGAAAATTTTAAAAGCAAGAAATCCTTATGATTAGCTGCTTCCCATCACCCAAGCAGTACACCAGGCACCCTTTAATCCTCCCCACCACAGAGTCTGAGCAGGACTTTCCTGTAGTCTCCTGAGCAGTCTCCCTAGAGAGAAAATTAAAAGGGAACACAATTAGTTTTATGGCTTCATACAAGGCTGGATTCTTTTCAGAACATACAATTTGTTGTAGGGTTTGTGCCCTCTTCAACAATTTAAGAACTTTCAGGAACATTGTCAGCACATAAATGTAAAGTTTCCTTAATTCCACCTCTTCTAAAATACCCAGTAGGTGTCAGGTGGGGAGCTCTCTCCTTTAACAGGGCTTAGCAAATACAGGTCTTGGTTTCTAACACTGAAAAGCTTACCTTAATGAAGGAGTGGAGGGATTTCCCATACATGGTTAGGAATTCCCTCCTGATATCCAGCATATCTATTTCAGAGCGGGACACCATCACCCGGATCAGCGTGTTGTCATCTGTTCCCAGGCCCTAAAGAAAAAAACCCAACCATCTGCAGCTACAAAGCATGACAAATCAGTGACAGACAAAAGTCTTATCTCTTGGTTTTCTGTGGGATCTGTTCCTAATTGGAGCATTTTTGCACTAATGGAGTGATCCACTAGCAGCTTGCTGCCAGGGAAGCATATTGCTCTGAGCTTCCTGAAGGAAAAAGAGTCCATATAAAAGCTCAAACTTTTTTTTTCCACCCGCATTTAGCAGCAGAGTTTATCTAATGCTACTGACTTGAGCATGGAAGGGCAAGGGGAAAAAAAGCTCTTTACCTTCATGGATTTATACAATCTTTCAGCAAAATACGCAGGTTTATTTCGCATGCACTTTACTGTAAGGGAGACAATAACAAGAGAATTCAGGTCATTAAAAACTGAAGGAGAAGGTCTTCCCAACCTTTACAGCCCTTTCTCACTGAAGGTGTTTATTCTGTAAAGATGCAAATCGGGGCCAATAAACAGCAAGTACAATGCAGACATCCACAGTCAGTGACCCGCTGGAAATGGATGTCTCCATGCCCAGGGCACAGTAATATTTTCTTTAAGTCTTTAATGCTTCCTGACAGCAAATGTCAGCTACCGAAGCATCACTTGGGAAAGCAAACAATGTCATCAAGCACAGAGCTTTCTCACCTGACTAGATCTGTGAAGATTAACACTGTGGCTTGCAAAAAAGACAGTATCTGCCTCCTGAAACTACATCAACAGCCAGCCAGGGCAAGATACAGTGTCTCTAATTATTGAATTACATTGGAGACAAAGTTTAAAAGCAGGGAACTCACCCACAGCTAACAAAGCATCTTCCAGGTCTCCTGACATCTCAGATTTAATGCTGTCTGTTATGTCCTTATTAGCAATCCCTCTGTATGCATCAAAAACTAGGAGGAAGAGTCAGTGATAAAAAGAGCGAGTGAGATGCTTCAGGGCATAGCGTGTAAACCACCAAGGAAAACTTTGCAAGATCAAACTCCTCACATGCTGTACGAACATTATCCCATTACTGTGACCACCAAGGATCACTTTACAAGATCAAACTCCTCATACTCTGTAGGAACATTGTACCATTACTGTGACATTGTAAGCTAAATCAGGGCTGTCCCACAGAAATCATTCATTTTAATTACCAACTGTCTTGCTAATTGGCCTACCACTGCTGCTAGCATTTTCAAGAACTGCTAGTTAATGATGGCAGTTTGAATGCTTAGCTCTGCCCCAATGGGATCACACTTCATTAGCTCCAATTTACAGGCTGGAGCAAGTTGTACTGATGTTTTTCTCAAGTCCCTTTTTGTCTCAGGAGGGAATAAAGTGGTCTTAAAGAATTGAATATGACTGGGTTTTAGGATACCTCCTGTCTCCTGAGGAGTTCACAATCAGCTAATGAACAAGTACAAAGCTCCTACAAAAGTATGGTCCTCAGACAAGGCCCAAAATCCAGGACACTACAGAGGGTCCTACCTCTTAGTAGGTGGGATCTGTTCCGTGTACAGAGGATGGCCATAAATTGTACCTCGTCTGTTCCCCATTTCTTCTCCCCAGCTTCATACAGGCACTTGAAGACATTATGAATGGACAAAGTAAGGTTAACTGAGAAGACCAGGTGTATATAACATGAGATTTTTTACTTTCTTGGTGCTTCATAAGACAGACATTACCCAAGAAATACTAACTAAGCACAGCAACCCTCAAATGCAACGTCATCTGCCCTCCCAAATACCCAGCCTGACTAGAGACCTCTCACCAGAGATGGAAAGGGGCTAGAACCGTTATCCCCATTTCACCGGCTGAGTCAAAACAGTGAAGAGGCTTCTCTAAGAGTCAAAACTGAGAATAGAGCCCAGGTCTCCACCTAGGGACCTGCTGTCTAGCATAGCTTCAGGCTTCCTGTTCTACCATGGAAAAAACTGAGGTCTAGAAAAATCCATCATGCATCACATGTACGAGAACAGACAGTTCTTGCGAGGAAGCAAATTGCTACACACCTGAGCATCTTGTTGAGCAAGGGCAGCATCCACATACGTTCCCTCATCTCTATTACCCTGTGGAGATACAAGGATGAAACTCATTTCACCAGAGCAACTAATGGAAGCAAGTCCTTCCAATTCCCCATTCAAACAAGTTACTGAAGATGCATAATGGGATCCTTAAAATTGAATAGTACCTTACAAATACAGCAAAATGTGGCTCAGATGTGATTTGTACTTCCTTTTGAAATGAGCAGCAACCCACATTACCTGGGCCATTTTAAAAAGAGCACAGGGCATTAAAGCATACCCAGAGTGGGACTCCTCTCCCTGCAGAAGCTGGGTGTGAAATGCAGGCAAGGGGAAATACAAGATAAGTGAAATAAAAGCCAGGCCGAAACACCTCATCACTGAAGTGAGAGGTGAGTCCATTGGCAACGAGAAGATTCACCCCCATTTCCCTTAGCCTGGACTTACCGTCGCAAGGGAAACAAGGACTCTTCGAAACATGGAAGATGTGTCAGAGACAATGTCCTCCTCCAGGGTACAGCCATATTCTAGCAAGAGCACACACACACGACATCTGTCAGCAACAGGTCCACCACCTGGACAGTGTTTGTCCACAACATCTGCCAGTCATAAACTGGGTAAATATATAACAGTGCTCAGGGCTCTAAATATCATAAAATCACTGAGGTTGGAAAGGACCTTTAAGATCATCAAGTCCGGCTGTTAACCAGCCCTGCCAAGCCCCCCACTCAACCACATCCCTTAGTGCCACATCTACACGTCTTGCAAATACCTCCAGGGATGGCGACTCGACCACCTCCCTGGGCAGCCTGGTCCAGGGCCTGACAACCCTTTCAGTGAGGAAATTTTTCCTAATATCCAACCTAAACCTGCCCTGGCACATCCTGAGGCCATTCCCTCGGGGCCTGGCGCTGGGGCCTTGGCTCCAGAGACTCATCCCCCCTCTCTGCCCCCTCCTGGCAGGGAGTTGCCGAGGGCCAGGAGGTCTCCCCTCAGCCTCCTCTTCTCCAGACTGAACCCCCCCAGTTCCCTCAGCCGCTCCCCTGAGGTTCTCTCTAGACAAATAGTTGTACTGCCTGATTTGCCACATTTAAAGGCGAGCAGACCCCCTCTTCACACGGCCAAGCATACAAACAAGTGACTTTTCAGACAGTATGATAATGGCTTGCAGTTTGCACTACGTACGACATTTGTAGTTCTCATTAATGCGCCGAATCTCTTCGTTTGTGCGAGAAGCCAGAATTTCAATCAGGCAACCTTCATCTGTTCCTGCACCCTAGGGAATTGCAAAGACAAGATCCAAGATTATAATGACAACTGTTTCGATGTGCAACTAGGATTTTTTTAATTATATGTTAAGTTAAGAATAATAAATTAATAATAAAGGTATAATTATGCCATATCATACTAAATAGACAAGAACTTAAGCAACATAAAAGGAAGATTTCAGAACCTTCACAGCCCTCCTCAGCTCATGCACGTCGTACATGGTGGTAGGAGTCATCATACCAACGATCACCCTTTCGAAATTCCCACTCAGCTCAGACTTCAAGTCATCAATCAAATCCTAGAAGACAGAGAGAGGAGGAAAGGAGTTGAGAGAAGACACAGCCTTTGAGATCAGAACGAACTTGTTCACCACTCTTCTTCATGCTTCTGCCCTTCTTGGGTGAACAGTTGCTCTGAAGTGAACAAGACCAAACTAAACTTGCCAGGGAAAGTTTGTTCTAACCTTACTGTGGTGGAGACTAGGATGTTGTTCACATTTCACCCATAACCCAAAACCATCTGCATCTCCCAGTTAAAGCCAGAGTCACTAACCTCTGAAGACCACCTACCCTGCCAATAGTGCTTTTATAGGTGATCAGAACTTGCTGACGTTGGGAAACGTTTAGTTTGGTCAAGATCTCGATGATGGCATCTTCATCTGTGCCTGGAAGAAACCAGTGGAAACCAGTCAGGCTGCTTGCACAAGAACCAGAAGCCTGCTCTGGTCTCGTCCAGGCTGTGCTATTAGCCATCTTCTGTTCCTTACACAGCCTGGTTTCAACACCACTGGGGACTAGATCAATGTACAGAAGTGCCTTGACCCAGGCGGCGGCATGGCAGTGCCACACTGCAGGACAGACGAGACAAGAGGATGTTTTTGTGGCCAAGACTTGGAGTTCCAGTTGTGTTCAGGTCTCAGCCTGATCAAGTCGCTTGATTCCTTTCAGTGCCCTCACAGAGCAGTGCGGCAATGCAAGGCTAGACTTCCCCTCTAACAAACCACCAGACAAAACATTCCCAGTGCTCGGAGGGAAAAAAAGAGGGTTTAACAGTGGAGGGAGATCAACTTACCAAATCCTTTCATAGCCTTCCTTAGTGCCTGTGCTTCTTGCTCAGCACTGAAACTTGAGACCCCCTTGATTGTTGCCTAAACCCACAGGAGAGGAGTTACGAAAGGCAGACGCAAAGTGATACGTACATATGGTAGAGTTGAATTACAAAAAATAAAAATTCAACAGATGCAAACACTGTGACAGCAAGTAAAGTCCACCCACCAGACAGGAGTGATTCTATACCAGGCTTCAATCCTATACTAAAGAGAAACTGTTCTAGAGGGACTTCCCAGCCACATAAGAAGTAAACTACAGGGACACAACTAAAAGGAGAAAATCTCCTCATATAGCTGCCCATGGAGTATCTGGTTTCCAATTAATAATGGCAATCAGCCTGACATCTGGGTTCAGTCCAGCTGGGGCTCCTTCCCAGCAGTTTTCCAGGTAAATCACAGAAGCAGCTGTTCCCATCAAAGCCCTATTCCTGACTTCTCTAAGAGCAGTCAAGGATCATAATTTTGTAAAATAATGCACCAGGAAGTGCAGTGTTTTACTCAGGATAGTGGTTCACAAACAAGTTTATCCTGCCTCCTGTCCAGTGCCATTTCTGTGGGACTACACTGTCTCTTACAAAGCTCTCCCTGTTCCATCAAAATCATCAGCAAAACACTGCTTAACATTTGTGTAGGTCAGACTTTCTGAAAAGGGCATAGGGACAACTACCACATAGATGGCTACCTTGCAGAGCCTGGAAAGAATAAAATGCTCAGGAAGTTTATCTGGAGAAATTTATGCTCTTTGAACTAATATCTGATCAGATAACTCCCCAATTGGAAAAGCCTGTATGTGTGGGTCATTCTCCTCTAGCAGGAGGAAGCAGAGAGAAGTGATAAAGTCACCCCCCATAAAGGCACAGGCAGTGACAATGTTCTTCCTGCTGTGTCCTTATCTGAGCTACACGCCCTGCGTTTATCTGATCAGAGCAAAGGCTTGGCACAGCATGGCACAGAAAACACACGCACTCACCATCGCTCTTGTGTTTGGTCAGTCTGTTATTGTCTGGGTACCCAGGCAGTTAGACAGCTGTAATAAAAAAAGAGGGAGTGTTAGTTTTCTTGCAAATAATTAATAGACTATACCTGCCCTTACCAGTTAATGAGGCTGGTTAAGTAACCATCTAATTTCTCTGAGGACTAAAAGCCACACTTGAAGAGCCCTACTGAACGCCCGTAGCAGCATCCCTGAGCTTCCACTCCTGCTTTGCACCGGACAAACAGAGGCTGCTTGCAAGGGCCAGGGCGTTTGCCCTGTCTGAAAGAGGGATGTGGTGCACAAGGTGAATAGCACTAGTAATTTAAGAAATTTCTTTACTATTGCTAGTGTGACAGCCTGGCTGTGGCCGCAAGGAGAGGCAGACTGTGTTGTCCTGGGAGCAGAGAAAACAGACTTGCTTCTCATGCCCTTCAAAACACACAGCTTTGACCCTGCCAGGTGAGAGCCTGAGGGGGATTAGGGTGAGGGCGCCTGCACAGTCCCAACAGCCTTCACAGATACTCCCTGGGAGGCAGAGACAACGTCAAGGTGTAGATGAGCATGCAAAGGATAACCTCACCCGAGGACTGGGACAGGAGAATTATGGTCCCTCTTACTTAAAACCTGCTGTATTCAGCATCCCCTCAGTTTGGTACAATGCGTAATTCCTTGTAGGACTGCAGTTTTAACCGACTGTTAAAGCCCTCAAGAGAAAAATAAAATATAGCTTATTTGCCATCTCCCCAGGGTTTTTTTCTGCTCATAATTTTGTTTTCATGCTCAAGAGCCTATACATGAACATACCCAAAGTATTTTCCCATGTCCCTGGTCAGTTGACAGGGTGTCAGGTACTAGGAAAAGGTTCACCTCCCTGCAACTCAGGTTCAACACAGCATGAACTGAGGTTCAAGCACTAAAGCCCTTAAGTAGAGGCAGTGATGCCAGTGGCTGACATCCCTCCTTATGCTGCTTGTGGGGCTTAATAGCTGCCATCAATGAGCCCAGACGGTTGTGCAAGAACAGGAGTGTCTGCTCAGGCTTCACATGACTCTTACAAATCTGGAATACTATCAGAGGGTGCTGTTCAGGCAAGTCTCGTCTCAGCGTGACATTTGCTATAGATGTGTTACTCACAGGCACTCCCGAGCGCTCTGCAGGTCATCTGTACGTTATTATACCCTGTGCAATCAGGCAACATATAGGAAATTATTAGTGTTTGCTTTCTTTCATTTGATTATAGATTTCAGTGGCCAAATTATGACCTAGACCTCAGAAAAGTCATCTTTGCTCCTCTCTAATGTTTTACAGAAATACAGAGCCAACTTTATTTGCTTTAGCCAGACACTAAATAATGGCTTTGAATTTCACAGATGTTTTTCTGATGTATTACCATTCAGTTGGGATATTAGACAGGCTAGTTTAGAAGGCAAAAGAAAGGTCAATAAAGAAGGAAAAGTGGGTGGGAGGCAGAAGAATTCTGAGTGCGAGCTGGCAGAAAGAAACCAAAACATGAGGAAAGGATGTGTGTACTGGATGAAGGGCAAAAGCTCCTGCACTATCAAATTACAACAGAAATGTCACACTGGATATTGACTGTAAGGTTCCGACTTCTTCATCCAGCTTAAACGTCACTGGGAATATAAAGAACAGAGCACTGCGGGAGACAGCAGTGCTAACCCCACTGCACAACCAGCAAACGTTGGTTTGTTCCCAGTGTATTTCTGTGCGTGGTGTCACAAGAAATGAGCCACTGAAGTTCTGGGTGGAAGCACTTGGCAGTTCAACCAGGTTCTTCAGCCTCTGTAACCCTTTCACAGGTTTCACTGCTCAGGCTGGGGCGTTAGATGAATACAACTCTTCCAGCCACCCCCTTTGCTAGTAGAGAGAGAAAGGAATTGCTCCGTCAGGTTTTCCAGCTCTCTGCAGCCTGACGCAATTCCTGGCCTGCAGCTCAAATGGGGAAAACCAGCTTCAGGATAGGAACAACACTTAACTCCATGTTTTGAGGAGATTAACTCCGCATGCAGAGAGTCAGGCAGCGAGTGCTATGTGCCCTGGCTAATCACTGTCCTGATGTTACTTGCTTCATCCCAGAATAAAGGCCTGAGCTAGCTGGTACAGTAAACCTGGCTTAGGACAGGCTCAAAGCGCTGTGCCCAGGTGACAGAGTGCAGGTGTACAAGGCATCCCTCCCATTATTCCAATTTTTTCCATGGATGACCTGTTCCTGGCAGGCTTTATCAGCTAATCAGGCAGTTATAAGCCCACATCAGTGTCCTCCAAAAGCTGAATCCAGAATAAACTTCATGTACCAGAAGCCAGCTGAAGCTATCGTGTGTGCTGACAGTTCAAGTGGAGGCTTGCTCTGAATCAAGTTTTCCTGACTCTGCACAGAGCACACAGATCCCAGCAAGCAAAGCTCCCCACAGCTTAGCAGGATATAAACCCTGGGTTGGTTTTTGCTTTGTTTGTTGGGGTTTTTTTCCCTCCCAAGTTTGAGCTCCTAGACAAGTGGCCAGTCTTACACTTCGGATCTGGAACGGAAAGCCACCGCTTTGCGACCCGGCCCCTTGCAAGGCAAACATGGGACTTGTTGGACTAGTTCTTTCGCTCGGTGCACGTTTACTCAAACCCAAACCCACGGGCCAGCGGTCTCCAGGGCAGAGCCGGCTCCCTCCGCAGCCGGGTGCCCGGGGCGGCGCTGGGGCTTGCAGCGGGGT